TTTTTTTTTTATATTTGAATTATAATATTATTAATCATTAATAAATTATTTTCTAAATGAAAAATAAATATAAATAGCAAAAAATATAAAAATAAATAAGTAAATATGAGTAAAATATGATATATATATATATATATATATAAATATATATATATATTATATTATATTATTCTAGAATAACTTAAGCGATATATTTCAGTTATTCAATTCTTTTTATTTAGATTAATTATTTTTAAAAATATATCAAATTAAAACTAATATATATGTATTAAATATATATAATATATTAAAATTTTTCATGTATGTAATTTATAAATAAAATAATTAAAATTTGAATATATAATTAAAAATAAAGTATTTAATATATAATATTAAAAAATATATAAAATATAAACTTAAAAAAAATGCAAAATTAAATTTATATTTATTTTGATATTAAAGGACAATTATATAATATATAAAAATAAACAGTAAATTTTATATTTAAAAATAAATAAATATTTTAACTATAAAATACAATCAAATTTTATTCTAAAAAAAGGAAGACTTTTGATTTTATGAAAGTTTAGTTTATGCCGTAGTTGGCCTATTAGTTTAATAATTTGATTATTTCACAGATATAAGAGAAACTTTAGACAATCCAGAATCTGGTCTTTTTGAAAATTTTGCACTTTAAACTCTAGGTATAACTGATTTTGGAAAGTTTCTTTTCTACTCATTTTCCAATTTTTTTAACCTCTCCCCAATTCGGATCCTAAAGCATTTTTTGATTAAACTTATCAACAATTTAATTAATATTTAATTATTATTATTTCAAATAGCTTAAATACTAATACCGAATTCTTTATTAAAATCATATTGATTTCAATAAGAAGTTATTAGTTTTTTTAAAAAACTTTATCGTATATTTTAATTCTATCTCCTTCAAGTTGTTTAAAAGTTTTTTTGAAATCTTCTTTTTTTAATTCTTTTATTTTTTATTAAGATTTTATTTAATCTTCACTTTCACATTCTTATATTGGAATTGTTTAATTGTCCATCTAAAGCATATATTAAAAATTTTTCTTTATTTTATATTTTTATTCCCTTAATAAATAAAAAAATAAAATAGATTTTATATTTATTTATTTATTAAAAATTAAATAACTTATTATTTTTATAATTTCCTATGTTTTTAAATATTTGTATTATTAGAAATATTTGTCTCTGTAATTTCTTTTATATTTCCTAATTATTAATGAAATATATATTTTGTAGGAGATACTTAAGATATTATTTATTCATAAGCCTTTTTACTCATTCTATTTTAATCAACGAACTTTTATCCTGATTTTTTTTGGTTATTTTAAAAAGTAATCTTAACACCTATATTAGGCTAATTATGATATTATTAAAATAAAAGAATATATAAATATATAAATATATAAATATATAATATATATAAATATATAAATATATATAAATATATAAATATATTTAAATATATATATAAATATTTATATTATATTTAAAATATAAAGATAAACTTTAATATTGTCGTTTTAAGGTGGTTATTTATTAAATTCCTATGTAACTGGTTAATATTTATTTTCTTTCTTTTTTCTCATAAACTCATCTTATAATTTTACATATTCTTAAGGAATAGAATCCTATATTATTATTTTATTTTTATATAAATTAAAATAATTTTAAATACTTCTGATTTAGCTTATTTTAGAACTTCCTTAGTAATTTTATTAAAATTCGGTTCTATTTAAATTACTTCACTCGGGAATTAAATATCACATTTTGATCCAAAACCACCGGAATCTTTATTTAAAAAGATAATTTTCCCGTCATAATCTTGCGTAAAGTCTTTACTTTTCATCAATCTAAGAACTTCATTTTTTCTTTCATTTTATTCTTATTCTTCTTTCTCCATTTTTTATTTTCTTTAATTTTCAAGTTATTTTTCTTTATCTTTTTTTTCCCTAATATCCCTCAATCTCTCCCCAAAAGGGTCATTTTCGATGTTTTTCGAATTCTTTTCAGTACAATAAATAACCTATATCTATTATTATTATTATTATTATTATTTATCTTATTGTTAATTTTATAAATAAGACTAAAAATCTTATTATAATGAAAGTCTGCTTAAATTAGTTTAAGTCTATCTTCCTAAAAGTTAACTTCCAGTAATTACTCTTTATATTTTGCTTATTCCATTCTATAAGTATTATTAAATAAAAATATATAAATATGTATAATTATATATCTATATATAAATATATAAATATATTTATATATATATATATATATATTTATATATATGTATATTTAATTTTTACTCTAGATATACCTGAAACTCTACTTGCATTACTTATAATACTTTTAGTATCACTTATATCATCTTCATTATCTAGTTCATGTATTATATATTCTACTTTTGTACTTAAAACTGCTCTATTATCTAGTTTTTATATTTCCTTTTTTTTTATAATTAATTTTTTTATTTTGATTTACAGGTTCTTTTTCTTCTTTCCATTATGTTTAAATTGATTCTTCAGTTTCACCATTATCTTTTATTTGAAAATATTGTTTTGCAACATTATAACATTAATCACATAAATCTTAAGATTCATAAAATGGTTGATGTGTTTGTAAATATTTATCGTATAATATTTCGCTGCCATCAAATATTATTTAATCTATTATTTTTTATGTGTTTAGAACTGATATTAAAGATACTAAGTCGTTATTTTCAGAAAAGTTATTATTCATATAAATATATTTTAAATATAATATATTTATATATATACATATAAAAATTAATAATAAATAAAATAAATATTTTTTAAAAATAATATTAAAATAGATGTTTTATTATTATAATATTTTTAATATTTTTTTATTTTACTTTTTTATAAAAACTTAACTAAACTTTGAAATTTTTTTTTTTTTTTTAATTAAAAAAAATATAAACTTATTTATTTATATATTCTATTAAAAATATATCATTTTATATTTTTAAATAATAATATTAATATTATTCATTTTAATTAATTTTAATTTTTATTAAAAAAAGTAAAATAATTTAATTTTATAAACTATGCTTTAATTTTTAATGATTTTATATATAAAATATTTTATTTTCATCAAATTTAAATTATTTTTTTAATATTTTTTTTTTTTTATATTTTTAATTTTAAAAAAGAAATTTGCATTCATTTATCTAAAATAGAAATTAAAGAAAAAAAAAAAAAACCAGAAACTAAATACAAAAATGATAAAAACACTATCATATATAATAGTATTTTTTATCCATTAATCAATTTCGCTTAAAACTGCAAATGATTTTAAATCAGGATTATTTAAATTTAATACTATAGCAAGTGGTAAAATAAAATATAAAACTAGAAAAGAAGAAAAGTATAATATAAAAAATATTTTATTGAAAAAAAAAGGTGTATATTAAATAGATATCGGTAAATTAGAAGACGATCTTTTAATGGCATATGGTGATTTTGATGGAGACAAAAAGTAAAAAGATAAAACATATAATTAAAAATTTATTTATTTTTAAAAAAGTACAGATATGGTAACTATATCACATGATAATAAAGTAAATGTAAATATATGGGATACAAATATAGGTAAAAAAAATACTTAAAAATATATATTTTTAAATAAAATATAAATAGCAAAATTTAAACGATTTTAGTTGATGAAAAAATAAAATTAAGAAACTTTATGTGAAGGATAAATAGTGAATATAATTCCATGTAAAAAAATAATAATATTAAAATTAAAATTAAATTTATAAAACACTAATTTTTTAAAATTTAAATAATATGTATATATAAATATGTATATATAAATATGTATATATATTTATATATATATATATATATATATATATATATATATACACATATATTTTATATTTTTTTTTAAAGCTGATTACAATTTTGATGGAAAATTAGATGTATTAGTAGTTTTATAATAAGAATAATTATATTGTGTAGAATTTTGGATACAAATATAATGTTCTGTTTTTACATGTTAATTTGAATTAACATAATATAGTAAATAAGATATTCTTAAAAATTTAAAAGCCTAACCTTTCGTTGGAGATTTTTTAGGTGATCATACTACATCTTTATTTATTTAGACTTAATAAGATAGCAAAAGATATATAATAAATATAACTGAAAATGATTTGTATGTATACACATTTAAATTTTATATAAAAAAATAAATTTAGATTTATTCAAGAATTCATTGAATTAATAACAGCTGGTGATTAATGCTTAGAATATTCAGGAACAAATAATATTGATAATCCTCATTTTAGTGCATTTGCTGATTTTAATGGAGATTGTAGAGCCGATATTATTATCTAGACTGTGACCCCTAATGGAAAAAAATAATTAGAGTATTGGGAAAAAACTGATAGCGATAAATTTTGTTTAAGAGCAATTTAAAATTTTGAAAAGGAAGATTTTGAATTTTACTCATTTGCATTAATTGATATTAGTAAAAAATAATAAAATATACAAAATTATTTATAAATATATATTTAAGATTATGATGGTGGTACAGATATAGTAGCTTTAGCAAATTAAAAAAGCACAAATGAAAGTTTTATAGTAATATCATATAATAAATATACTGTAGGAAAAGATCATTTATGTATGAAATTTTCAGAATTTCCTTTTGATGAAATATCTGTACTTGGATAAGTAATAAATTATAAATATTTTTAAAAATAAATTAAAAAAAATATAGTATGTCAATTATATTTAATTAGATTTTCGTTTCTATATAAATGAAACGACTCCTTATCCAAGATTTAGTGATATTGATTTAGATGGATATCCTGAAATAGCATTGATAAAATAATAAAATTAATAAAATCCAAATCAAGGATTACCTATTATTTTAGCAAATAATAAATGTAGTAAAGGATGCGATTAATTAAGTGTAGGAGAAAAAAGAGGATTCGATTCTAATGAAAATAAAAATAATGATAAATATAGACATTATGATAAATTTAAATATGTTATTAGTCATACAATTTCTTTTTTGATTTTAATGAAGATGGGCATATCGATTTTCTTGTAAATTCATTAGTTAATGGAAAAAATTAAATAAAAGGATTTTATGATTTTGTTTCTACAGATGCTTTTTTTGTAAAATTGTTAGGTATTTTGTAAATTTTTTATTTATTGAATATAAAATAAATAGGATTAAATGGATTTTGTGATAATACTTCATGTTAAAGTAGTAATTATTATGGAATGACATTTGAAGTTGTTGTTACATCTTTAGAAACTAATTATTATGTTGCAAAAGGTATTTAAATATATTTACTGTATAAAATTTATAATATATATATATATATATTTTAATAATAAGGATCATAATTGAGTTAATCATAACATAGATCTCTTTAATTGCCTTTTATTTTAATAGGTTTATCAAGAACAAATAATTATGTAGAAAATTTCCATGTCGGATTGCCTTAAAATAATGTAAAAATAAATAAATATATATATATATATATATATATATATATATTATATTTACATATTTTTATATATTTATGTATTTTATATCTTTATTTTTAGTTCAGTGATTCTGTTAAAGTATGGACACCTATTATTCCTAATTCTTAATTAATAATTTTTCCATTTTCTTTAAAACAATCAAAGTAGTTTTTTTAAACATTATATAAATTTAATAATATATTGTATTTAGATGGGAAATAAGTATTTTTATATAACCAAACGAGGCTTTACTTGTTGTTGTAATTGTAACTTTAGGTATTTTAGCAATTTTAGCTGTAATTATTGGATGGCATCATTACAAAGAAGAATAAGATGATATATAAACATAAGCATAATTTTTTAAACTCTTTAGATGAATAACTTAGAAATAATAAAAAATGCATAAAAATATATTTTTAAATTGAATAAATAAAATATTGTAATATTTATTATTTTTTTTTATAATATTTTATCTATATTTTAATATAAAAAATATTTAAAGTATATTAGTTTTAAATATAAATAAATATATAATAAAATATTATAAATTTTTTTGTATATCATTCTATTTCTAATAAATTACTTTTATTAAAAAAAGTATAACATATCTATTTTGAATTATTATTGCGTCTTAGCATATTTATAATAACTATAAAATACATTAATTAATTCGAAAAATTAATGAAAGTTTCTCATTAAGTTCAAATATGATTAATCTAAAAATACTTGTAAAAAAAAGAATACATTAAAAATTTAAATAGAAATGTAATTTGAGATTTAAAATCTCGTTGATTGTATAAGCGATTATTAGAAATAGAAATGCAGATAAAATAATAAAATATAGATATTTAATAAAATATTTTTTAGAATTATATAAAAAAAAGAGAAAATATAATGTATTAATAAAGAGATAAAGTATATTAAGTAAGAATAACATTATTTAAAATTATAATAATTTAAAAAATAATTTACATAAAAAATTAAACATTTATATTATAAAATTTAAAAATATTATAAATAAAAATGGAAAAATTTAAAAAAAATATTAATAAAAGAAAAAAAAAAATATAATAAATAAAAAAAATTTAATGTAATAAAAAAGTAAAATAAATATATATATATATATATATATGAATATTTATATATTTATATATTATATAATTTTTTTTATAATTAATACATAATAATTTATATATATATTTTTAATAATTCTCTCTTTTATTTATTTTATATCATAATTTTTTATATTATTTTAAATTTTTTAATAATATTTATATTTTATTTTTGTTTTTTATATTTTTTTTGATATATTATAAATTAATATTAAAATAAAAATAAAAAATTATCATGATTTATTTTAATATAAAAAAAATAAAATAAAATAAAATTATATACAATGGAATAATCTTAAATTTTTAATAATTTATATTATTAAAATTTTTTTTTTTAAATTAAGATATTTATATTTTAAATGAAAAATTTTATTTTTTTTAAATATAAAAAAAAAATTAAAATATAAGAATTAGATATACACATGACTATAAATTAAGATTTTGCAATATATATATATTGTATAATTTTTTATTCTAAATTTTATTTTTTATAAAATATTTTTTTTTAAATTTAAAAATTATAATTGTTATAACAAAAATTTTATTTGTGCAATTGTTAAATCTTAAATTTAATTAATATACATAATGGAATATAATTATATATCAAAATAAAATAAAAGAAATTAATATTAAATAAAATTTATATTAAAAAATTTAATTTTGTTTATATAAATTCTAAGACATATTTAAATTACAATTAAGTTATAAAAATTAAATATATTTTATTTATTTTTTTAAAAATTAAAATATATATAAAAAAAATTAATTTATTATAAAAAGAAAAAAAAAAAAATTAATTAAGTATTAATAAAAAAAATAAATTATATTACTTATAATATATATATATAAAAATGAAAACTGTAGATTTAGTATAGGCTAACCTAACTTTTAATTTTAATCATATATAAATAAATAATTCCAATAACTAAGCTAAATAAAGTTAAGAATTTCTAACCGAAAATTTATAGTATTTTTTATCTCAAAATTCGCCAAAAGTTAAATTATTTTTAAACAATAAAAAAAACGAAAACATTTTAATAAATGACAATTAAAATTCTTTAAATTCTACAAATTAATCATCATCTAATTCCTTAGATGTGTGTTTTTAAAAAGGACCTAAAGATGTTTAAGAATCTCCCTAAAATATGATTGAAAAAGATATAAGATTTTCTAATGAAGGAATTTGCATAAACTATGAAGAAAGAAACCTTCAAAATATATTTTCTGATCAAAATTAAGGACTATCAATTATTCTTGGATATATATTTATTGTATTTGCTGCTTTTTTATTCATTGGTGTATTTTTTTCGATTTTCATGGCACCTTTTCTTAATAAAAGTAATTATTTATTACTTGAATTTTTGAGGCTAGATGATTTTTATTGCTGTTTAATTCCTTTGTCTATACCAGTTTCATTTATTACTATATATTGTAATTGGGTGTGTATGAAATATTTAAAACATTCTTGAATGAATATTTTTATAATTATAAATAAAAAATATTTATAAAAAATGACTGAATATATACTATTTAATTATTAAGAAAAAAAAAGTATAAAATAAATAATATATATAAAAATATTTATTTTCTCATTTTTAAGTTTTTTTTCTTTTTTTTTTGTAATTTTTATTTATATTTTTCATTTAGCATATGATTTTTGCCTTTTTTTTACTTTTCTTTGTATTGAAAATAACTATTTAATTTTTACGCTTTTTACTTGTTAATATTTATTTAATTAAAAAGAAAGACATTATAATTATTTTTCATATATATTTTTTAAAAAAATATTATCATTTTATTATGAGTTTTTTATAATTTTATGATAAAAAAATAAAAATATATTTTTATATTTTTTATTTTGTGTAACTATGTATATTTAGTTAAAAAAAATAAAATCATATAAATCAAAATTAAATTAATTTAAATTTAATATTTAAAAATTAATTTATTATACATTATTTTTAATTTTTAAAAACTTTATATTTTTAAATCAAATCAAAACCAAATGTCATTAAATAAATATTTTATTGTATGTTGTTAAAATGATAAAAAGATATTCATATTTATTTTAATTTTTATTTTAAAATAAAATTTTTATATATAATATTTTAATCATATATATATATATTTGAAATCCTTATTGTAATTTTCATTAAAAAATATTTAAACATATTAACTTTATTTTAAAATTAAAAAAAACAAAAAAATTATTCATAAAATCATAAAAATAATATTTTTTTAAATTTTTTTTTAAAAAATAAAATAAAATAAAAAAAATAAAAAAATATTTTAAATTTAAATAAAAAAATTTCAACAATTAAAAAATATACTATAAAACATAAAAATCCCAAAAAATATATATAAATATATGAGTTATCAAAATTTAAACAATTAAAGTACAAACAACTCACATATAAATAATTTTTCAACAAATCAAAGTACGATTAGCCGTCCATCTACCAGTAATTACATTTAAAAATCCCCAATAATCTAAACCTAAAAAATCGATAAAAATAAAACAATAAACCCATATTCAAAAAAAGATTGGTAAAGTGGAACAGATGCTTTAAAATAAATATTTTTTGCAAAAGATGAAGAAATAGAATATTGGAAATAAATGTGTGTATAAAAAGAAACAACAATATAATAATTTGAAATAATACACGAGTAAAAAGTTTAATATGAAAGTGATAATTATTAATTAAGAGATATTATATCTTAAAGAGATAACGAAATTGAAATTTTAAAAAGAAATTTAAATTAAGCAAATTTCTTAAAGGAATCCAAAATATAAGAATTAGAAGAAAAAATAACCAACTTAACAGTCGAAAATAATCGATTGAGGAATTTTTTGAATTAAAATAATCAAGAATTAGAAAAAGTTTAATAAAAACTATAAAAAAATGAGCAAGAGAATTAATAAAAGATCAATTAAATAAATAATTTAATGATAAATTTAGATGAATATAAAAATAAATATAAAAATTAAGATTTTTAATGTCAAAAATATAGCGAAATATAAAAAGTAATGGAAAAAAAATCGAATAATTAAATAAATAAATATTAAATTTAGATGAAGAAAATGAAAAAATAAAAAATAAAAAAAGATTTTGAAAACGAGATTATGAAGTTTACTAATTAAAATTAAATTTTAAGCCAAAATAATATTAATTATTAAATAAAAAATAAAGAATATGAAAGATATATTTGTCAATTAGAAACAATTATAAACGAAGAAAAATAAAAGAATATCCAATATGAAAATATGTATGAAATTCTTCAAAAAAATATTAAAGAATTTCAAGAAAAAACAGTTTAGTTAACTTAAGAAATTGAACGTTTAAATAATATTTTGGCATTGAAATTTTAGGAAATCGATAAATTATAAAATTCATTTTCTAATGCAGAAATTATAATCAAAAATTTAAAAGATTCAAATTAAAATTTATAAAAACTAAATTTTAACCTAACTTAATCATTTTAAGAAGCTCAAAATAAAATAGATGACCTTAATGTTAAAAGAAATCAAAAAAATAAAGAAATAATCGATTGGGAGACTAAAGTAGCCCTTTTTTAAAGTGAAATAGAAAGATTAAGAACTCTTATATATTAAAAAGACGAAGAGTTGTAATATGGTAATATTAAAATTTAAAAACTAGAAACAAATCTATAAGAATTCTATAATTTAAGAGAAAAGAATAAAGTTTTAAATTCTGAAATAGATAGACTAATGGAAGAAAATCAAATATTAGATATCGAAAATTCTTAGCTTAAATAATCAATGGTTAGTATAAATGATTTAAATGTGAGAATTAGCGATTTATTATTATTTTGTGTATAACTTTTGACAGAAATCGAATGTTTAAGGAACAGAGTAAAAGAAAAAAATGAATAAGTAAAATAATTTAGAAAATCTTCTTTAGTTTCATATAGAAATTGATTATTTATATATAAATATATATATTTTTTTTTAAAAAAATAATTTTTTTTTTGTAGTTATTTTTATTTTTCTATTTTATATATATAATTACTTATTTTTTTGTGTGCTTTTAAAATTAATTTTTTTATTTTAATTATTTATTATATTATATTATATTGCTTTTTTTCTATTAATTAATTATATATGATTATATATAATTTATTATATTATATTGTTTTATTTCTATTAATTAATTATATATGATTATATATATTTTTATTTTATATATTTAGATTTTTTTTATTTTATTTTATAATTATTTTAATATATATATACATATGAAATT